CACACAGTACTTTGCAAATGATCGATTGAGAAGAACACATTCCGCATTTCAGTTCTTTGAAATACTTTAGAACTTATATCTGATAGGCATTTAATGAAGAGAGATATATTAATGATGGTGTATTTGATGTAATTTGATGACAGCGTAGATGATTAGGTGAGAGGATAGCTCTGATTTATCTCAATTTATCTCGGATTTATCAATTTATCTCGGAGTAACCTCATGAAAACGATAAAACCAACTGGGATTCGAGGAATTCCGTAAATTGGCTGGAATGATAGTAATGCACACATTGGGGTTAAAGGAGCTCGCGTTCTCTTATCAGTGATTGATTCAAGATATAAATAGAATGTGTTTTATCATAGTTTCCTACTGTTTGTAAACATAATTTACGCTGAAGCAGATTAGCGCGAGATATACGATATAAAAAGATATGCAAAGGAAATGAAGATTCTTCATGACTAGCTAGTAGCAAAGTGCTTGCGGAGGAGAAAAATTTCAAATAAAAACGAACTTGTTTTTGGCAGCAGNATTTTTGGCAGCAGCTGCGCGATCACGTTGTCGCCGATTCTTGAACCAATTCCCAACTTGCATAGCCGTTAGACCCGTTTTTGAGGCCAACTCTTTCTTTTTACTTGGGTTCGGATACGGATCTTGCAAGTACCACTCTCGCAACAACGACCTGAAATTGATCATTGGTTGAAAATTTGTTGGAGCCGCAGAATTGAGATCCGGAATGAATTAGCAATCATCTGTGATTTTCTGATCAATATCTCCTCTGATGTCTTGACGATTTCGCAAACTTTTTGGATTTACAATGATCTCAGCTCTGTTTTTTGGATCATCGAATTCATGAAACTCGTGAAATATACCTTCTTGACAAAAACCAGCATAATCTATAAGAGGAGGTAAGCTGCAAATGATTTCATTACCATTGACTAGTTATCTATTTAAAACAAACCTCGTTCTTTCTTTAAAGCAGTGTGTTTTCTGTTCACCATCCCAAATTGTCCTCGGCATTGGATACTTCTTACGAACTCGATATTTATCTACCGGACCCAACGGCCTAAAAATTTACGATGTGATAGATTCGATATTCTCAAAAATGAAGAATTCAGTTGGACCGTTTCAAGTAGGGAAATGAGATCCTTTACCACCAATCAGATGTGTAGTAGTATGTAGTATCAATGTAGTTCATTACAGTATGAAAAGCTGTCAAATATCAATTTCAATTCA